TACAACGTTTGAAACTCTCAAATCGTCAAGGACTCATACACACTAGATGCTCTTAAAACTTAAGGATAATTATTGGATAATTGCAGCGGCTTTTTATGTTGAAGACGATATTATGAAAGCGATGGAACTTGATGAACTATCTACGCAGATAGAGTTTCGCACAATTTTAGTCATACTCAAGGTCAAGGGTGCTATTTCGTGTTGCACTAAAGGTTTGGATGTTTTATTGAGAAATATAGACTCGTTATTGATGGATTTGAGAAGATGATGGCAATTCAGAAGCTTGGGTCACTCTGTTCATTTGAAATGTGATTAGTCAGACTTCTACTGTATCTTTTTTCTACATGACAGATGCAACAAGCTTGAAGTCGTAAAAAAAATTCTCAGTAAGTGAAAACCAAGGATATTGGTAAGAACAATTGCCTTGATAGAAGTCGACTTTGGACTCATTTGAATCAGAATCTCTCGTGTCAAAGTTTAAATTGAAAATGCTTAATATAGCTTTTTGAATCTTTGAACCTCTGCTGTAAATAATGAGATGTACTGCAAAGTTCTGGTTTCAAATAAATAGCATAGGAACTCGTAAATTTTCTGAAATTTTAACGTTTAAACGAGATTCAAGCTGAATCAAACTATGCTGTAATTCTCACATCACTAAGCTCAAAAGTGCTTTGCAAGCGTGCTCACGTCTATTAAATTTTAACAAAATTGCATATCCACAGAAGCATACTCATTTCAAAGATTTTTGTAAGTACGTTGAACTTCCGCCAAAATAACTCCAAATCTATTTTTGTATTTGAAAACAAAGACGATGACTGAGGGAGATGTTTTATTACAATTTGAGAGGATCCTTTTATGTTGAAAAAGGTTTGAGCAAAACGATTAAAGCAAAGGATTTCTGTCTTAATACATATCGAAAATGGTTCACCCTATTGTGTTAAAAAATTCCTCCAAAATTTAATTGAAATGTGGCCTCAGCGTCACAGTACAACGTGTGCTGAAGAAGCATTTTGCAGCTTTTTTCATGCCAGATGCAGAAGAAGTAAAGGAAGTTTCTTACGGATTCCATGATTTCTGCTGGGTGCACTGCACTGATTGAATGATTAGAAACTACCTTGATATACAATAGGAGATTGTTTAAGCATGCTCAAAGTTAATCAGTGAATGCCTTTATTGACAGGAACTTCTCGTTATGACAAACACCACAAAATAACTCTTACACATCTCTGTGAAAAATTTTTTAAATAAAGAAATAGATATAAAAGGGTTTTGTCTTCAGTAACCCTCTGATTCTGATGTATTAGCAAAAGTTCAGCACGAAGATCTCCCTTGACAAAGATGCTTAGCAATGGAGATCAATTTCCAATCCTTCCAGCACTGTTTTTATATTCTGCAGTGTAGCTACTTATAA